AGAATCGTCATTCACCTCGGACATCCTGGAGGCCCAATTCCTCCAAAGTTCAAAACACCCGCCATGAAACCTTATGATGGGTCTAAGGACCCGAAAGATTATGTTGAGGTCTTCGAGGACCTCATGGACTTTCAAGCGGCAACAACACCACGCGCCTGTGGTACCGGAGACTACCGGCCAGGTCGATCTCGACCTACTCCCAACTGAGGAAAGAATTCATTAGCCAATTCTCTTCTCGTCATTACGATAGAAAGACAGCGACTCACCTCGCCACCATCAGGCAGAAGGAGGGAGAGATGCTGAGAGAATACGTTACGAGGTTCTAGGAGGAGCAGCTGAAGGTCGCGCACTGCTCCGATGACTCGGCCATGTGCTACTTTCTCACCGGCCTGGCCGACGAGACCCTCACCGTGAAGCTCGGAGAGGAGGCTCCAGCAACCTTCGCTGAAGTTCTGCAAAAGGCGAAGAAAGTTATTGATGGGAAAGAGCTCCTCCGAACCAAAACTGGCCGACCTGAAAAGCAAATCGACCAGAAGAAGCTAAGCCAAGAGAAGAGGAAGGCCGATTCTAAGTCTAAGGACAAGGAATCGTCCTCCTCTGGCAGCAGAACCGAGTATCGTCAGTCGGAGATCGACCATAATCGAAGCCGACCTTACGAACGTTATACTTCAACCACCATCCCCATCTCTGAGATACTTACGAACATCGAGGAAAGCGGGATGGAAAAGCTCTTCAAGCGACCTGAGAAGCTCCGAGGAGACCCAGAAAAGCGTAACAAGGATAAGTATTGCCGTTTTCATCGTGATCACGGCCATAACACGACGAATTGCTGGGAGCTGAAGTGCCAAATTGAAAATCTCATTCAAGATGGCTATTTCAAAAAGTTCGTAGGAAAGCCGAGGACCAACTCGGTAGAGAAGGCAGAAGAGAGGAAGCGTTCAAGGACGCCACCTCGTCGAGATGACCGACCTGCGATCATCAACACAATATTCGGGGCCCCTAGTGGGGGACAATCTGGAAACAAAAGGAAAGAACTAGCTCGCGAGGCCAGGCGCGAGGTATGCATCATTAGGGAGCAGAAGCCTACTTGCTCAATTACCTTCAGCGATACCGACTTGGAGGGAGTTCATTTGCCTCATAATGATGCACTTGTGATCACTCCTCTCATTGATCACGTCTTGGTCCGAAGAGTACTAGTAGATGGAGGCGCATCTGCCAACATCTTGTCCCGCTCAACATATCCAGCATTGAGGTGGACCAGGTCACAGTTGAAGAAAAGTCCAACACCCTTGGTTGGATTCTCTGGAGAATCAGTCTCCCCAGAAGGGTGCATCGACCTGCCGGTCACGATCAGACAAGATGCCACCCAAGTAACGCAGATGGCCGAGTTCGTGGTGATCGACGGCAGATCGGCCTACAACCCCATCTTCGGGAGACCCATTATCCACTCATTTCGGGCCGTCCCCTCCACGCTGCATCAAGTCCTGAAGTACTCAACCCCTAATGGAGTAGGCACGGTCCGAGGTGAGCAAAAGACTTCAAGGGAGTGTTATGCATCCGCGCTTAAAGGGTCGTCAATATGCGCCCTGGAAGAGAAAACCAATCAGGACGAACTACCTAGGGAAGGCAAAAAGCAGTTCTCCCAGCCAACAGAGGAGCTTGAGCTTGTTCCCTTACTTAGCCCTGAAAAACAGGTAAGTATAGGAACCAAACTGAGGGCCACTGACATGGAGGAACTGATCAACTTCCTCAGGTCTAACTCGGACGTCTTCGCATGATCTCACGAGGACATGTCAGGCATCGACCCAAAGATCATGGTGCATCGCCTCAACATAGACCCATCATTCCGACCTGTAAAGCAAAAGAGAAGACCTGTAAATAAGGAGAGGAGTGATGTAATTGTTGAGGAAGTTAACAAACTTTTAAAGGCTGAATATATAAAAGAAATTCTGTATCCCGAGTGGCTCTTTAATGTTGTGTTAGTTAAAAAATCCAACGGGAAGTGGAGAATGTGCGTGGACTTTACAAATTTAAATAAGGCATGCCCAAAAGACTACTTCCCTTTACCAAGGATCGACCAGCTCGTGGATGCAACAGCCGGGCACGAGCTGCTCACCTTCATGGATGCCTACTCCGGATACAACCAAAATAAAATGCAGTTGCCAGACCAAGATCATACCGCGTTTATAACAGACCAAGGTCTGTACTACTACAAGGTGATGCCTTTTGGCCTAAAGAATGCGGGTGCGACCTACCAAAGGATGGTGAACAAAATGTTCACCAAGCAGATCGGTCGGAATATAGAAGTATATGTGGACGACATGCTTGTCAAGAGCAAGCAGTCAAAGTCGCATCTTTCCAATCTGACCGAAGCCTTTGGAGTACTGCGCAAGTACCAAATGAAGCTCAATCCGACCAAGTGTGCCTTTGGAGTCTCCTCGGGAAAATTCCTTGGTTTTATGGTAAACAACCGTGGGATCGAAGCTAACCCAAAGAAGATAAAGGCCGTGCTCGAGATGGAGACACCCAAGACTCTAAAGTAGCTTCAGTGCTTCAATGGCAGGATTGCAGCCTTGAATAGGTTCGTGTCAAGATCAAAAGACAAGTGCCTTCCTTTCTTCAAGGTTCTTAGGAAGAAGGGACCATTCGAATGGACGGTAGAGTGTGAGCAAGCACTAGAGCAGTTAAAAAATTATCTCTGCTCGGCACCTCTACTCGCAAAACCATTGCCAGGAGAGAAGCTCCACTTGTATCTGGCAGTGTCTTATAGCACCGTCAGCTCGGCCCTAATCGGGCAGGAGGGCGCGTGCCAAAGTCCGGTTTATTACACTAGTAAGGCCATGACTGAGGCCGAGACCAGATATCCCCAAATGGAGAAGCTGACCCTCGTTTTAGTCACATCGGCCCGAAGACTTAGGTCGTACTTCCAGGCACACACTGTTATAGTACTTACAAACTTGCCCCTGAAAAATATCTTCCTTAAGCCTGAAACGTCAGGGCGTCTGAT